ACACCACCCTTTCATACTACTCCATCCAGACCCACAGACACAAACCTACAGAGAAATCAGGTATAACATGCAGCTTACCAGACTATTAGAGATTATCTTATTTTTTAAGATAATAATAGTAAGGCAAAAATTACATAAAGTGTAACAGGTGCCTAAAACTCAAGCTTTTCCTTCAAGAAGAAAAAAGGCCAGAAGAGTAGCAAAACAGAAGACAATTCTTTTGTTCTTGTTTTTGTGGTGCCAGGGATCCAACCCAGGACCTTTGGCATCTAAGCAGATACTATACCCTCAGCCTTGAGAAGACCATTCCAAAGAGGCAATCCATAAAAGCTTTATAAAAATTAACTGAAACATTCTTTTCTCCTTCTCTACAAAAATTATCACTATGTGCCCAGCATTGTGCCAGGTGCTACTATCGAGACAATTAAAATTTCAGTAACAGTGACCCCTGAAGCAACTGCAGCCTTATGTGCTTCACTGTATGTTACACACTATGTAAGTGAAGGAATTAGGCCTTGCAGAAGAGCCAGGTGGGAAGCAGAAGACAGAACATTCCAGACTGGGGAGTGATAGGAGTAGCTGGAGCATAGGAAGGGCAGGAGTGATCATGTGCACACGTGGGAATTGCATGCACATTCACCCATAAATGAAATATAGTCCATTTTACCTATATTCTTTCACAAATATATGCTCAGCATGGCACAAATCATTGATATTCCAGGAGACAAAAACACTTTAACATTGTGGTAGTTTCTGGTCATGTTTGGCAAAGTGAAAGGGACATAGTAGTAGGAGCCCAGGAGTTCACACCACAACCCTAAGTAGCCTGGAAGATGTCAGAATGATATGAAATTCATACTGTCAGAGAGATGACTGTTTCATCTCTGGATTGGGATTTACAGCTGGAAGAGATGGTATGGTGCTACCCTTTGCTGGTGTTTATGGCCAGAGGGAATTAAGTACTCCAACTTGTAAGTAAATCATGAACAATGACTGATCTATACAGTGAAAACCACACTTAATGATCAGAGTTATGAAGTATGCACACATGGATGAGATACAGACAAATACTCACCTGTGAACATCCAGAATCTTTACTGACATGATGACTGGGTGTAAAGGCAGACCTAGAAACCTGCGTATTAGCCAAGAGTCTTGCTAATGAGAACTGGTGATTCCTCCCACAGATCCCTAACACCAACTCCTTCCCCTCTAGACAACTTGGCTTATTCCCTGTGACCCAAACAGAGTCAGCTTTCATGCCACCAGCCTCTGCTCATGCTACTTTATCCACCTGGAATGTTCTCCACCCATGCGTCCACCTAGACAAAGGCGTACTTCCCATCCTCAGGGACTCCGCTCCGCTCCTCCTCCTCCTCCTCCTCTAGATGGTGCCTCTGACTCAATCTATAGCACCTCTCCCTCTTCTGAACTTCCAGAACAATTAGTTTGTGTAAGTACTTGGCAAATAATCACCTAAGCCCTATAAAGCTTATCTTTTCTGTTGTTTTCTTGAACTATTCTTGAAAGCAACAGAAATTTTCATGTTCTCCCTGTTTCATTGACACACCACTTCTTTAAGAGGTAAGGAGCACACTTTATTCAGTTGTTTGGATCTACTTGCTGCATCCTCTAGAGCACCTTAAATAACAGAATAAAACTGCAATGTTCTCTCCTGTGCACAAAGAAGTTAACTTAGGTTCACTTTTAGTAATCCAAAGATTCAAACATGACACATGACACTTAAGAGACTTTATAACCAATGAATGTGAAATCCTGAAAAAAAAAGGAAAACATTTCTGACTTTTCCCAATTTATTCAGAAAAAAAAAAAAAGGAAAAACAAAAAGGGCTAGAGATACAGCTCAGCAGCAGAGCGCTTGCCTCACCTGCTCAGAGCCCCAGGTTTGGTTCCCTAGCACTGCCCAAAAAACAATGATGACGACAACTTTAAAAAGCCAAGGAGATTTATTTCTATTACAAAGTAATAGTTCCACAAGCTAATATGACTCAAACTCTAAGACATCGATTTCAAATTTGGAAAAGTTTTGCAAAGTTCTGGCTGAAGTCATGGATTTTCGGGCCGGGGATGTAGCTCAGTGGCACAGCGCCTGCCTGGCAAGTGCAAGGACTTGAGTTCAATTCCAGGTACCAAGAAAAAAACAAAACAAAACACTAAAATCATGTATTTTCTAGAGGTCACCAATGAAGTTGAAATGAATGGCTCCATATTCAACTATTACTATAGTGTCTCATATGCAGTATGCATTTAATAAATGTACTTAATGTCTGATAAGGTGAAATGATTATAAGCCAAGAGTGACTAAATTATAAAGGGATTCCTCAAAGTACACAGCTTCTTTCCTAGGCAGAGAGGGGTAGAACTTCTTAAATAATTTCAAACAAACAATCTATGAAATTATTATTTAATTTACCTCTTTATCTGTTTTATGTGCACCTCGGAAAACTAAACACCACTGTTAATAAGTATTTACCAGACACTAAACTTTGGAGTTATGTGTATTAACCAATCTAACCCTCAGGACAACTCAATTCTATAGATAAGATCAAGGCACAGATTTGAGTAACTTGCCCAAAGACCACAAGCAAAAACGTGGTAGAACTAGAATTTGAATCTCAGTAATCTTACTCTTAATCATGATAAAAAGTACTGGTCAGAGCTGATATAGACATATGTCATTTTGGCTGATTATTGTAGCATATGAGGTTGTTTCTGTAAGAGATGGCCATTAACTCTGCTAAAAAATGTAACCTGCTACCATAATACTGTGTATGTAATAAACTGGACTACAGTTGGGCTTCTGTATATACTGGTTCCTCATCTTCAGATCAACTGAGGATCAAAAATATTTGGGGATGGGCTGGGGATTTAGCTCAGTGGTTTCGCCACCCGCTGCACAAGCACAAGGACCCGAGTTCGATCCCCGGTACCAAAAAAGAAGTATCTTGAGCTGGGGATTTAGCTCAGTGGTTCTGCCGCCTGCCTCGCAAGCACAAGGTCCCAAGTTCGATCCCCAGTACCAAATATA